AACTCAATATATAGACCAGACAGGCCTTGAGCTCACAGAGATCTGCCTGCCTCTGTGATCTGCCTTAAGCTCACAGAGACCTGCCTGCCTGCCTGTGAGTGATGGGATTAAAGGCATGTGCAACCACACCTGGCAGCATTTGTATCTTTTTTTTTTTGTCTTTTTGAGACAGTGTCTCCCTGTAGCCCTAGCTGTCCTGGAACTCACTGTGTAGACCAGGCTGGCCTTGAACTCACAAAGCTCCTCCAGCCTCTCGTTTGTAACTTTTAAAAAAAATGTTTATTTATTTATTTATTTTTGGTCCTTTTGAGACAGGGTCTCCCTGTAGCCCCAGCTGTCCTGGAACTCACTATGTAGACCAGGCTGGCCTTGAATTCACAGAGATCCACCTGCTTCTGCCTCCGAGCGCTGGGATTAAAGGTGTGCCACCACGCCTGGCTTTATTTTTATTTTGTGTGTATGAATATTCTGCCTGCATGTATGCAAGTGCACCACATGTGTGCTTAGTGCCTGCAGAGATCAGAAGAGGGGGTCAGATGCCCTGGAAATGGAGTTACAGACAGCTATGAGCTGCCACGTGAGTGCTGGGAACAGAACCCAGGTCCTCTGCAAGAGCAGCCAGTGTTCTCAATCAGTGTGCCATCTCTCCAGCCCCAGCTGTCCTGGAACTCAGTATGGTCTTTTTCTTGGTCTTTTTTTTTTTTTGAGACAGGGTCTCTCTGTAGCCCCAGCTGTCCTGGAACTCAGTATGTAAATCAGGCTGGCCTTGAACTCACAGAGATCTGCTTGCCTCTGGCTCCTGAGTGCTGGAATTAAAGGTGTGCACCACCATGCCTGGTGCTTATGTATCTTAAAAACGGAATTTAGGCAAGATGGTTCAGCAGGTAAAGTACCTGCTGTACAAACCTGATGACAAGGGTTTAATCCCTAGAACCCACATAAAGGTGAAAGGAGAAAACTGACTCCACCGAGTTGTCCTGTGACCTCTGTACATGTGATAGCACATGTGTTCCCATACTCACACATCATGCACAATAATATTTTATATTTTATAATATTTTGTAACAATAAGCATTTTAATATTTTTTATTGATAAGTTCATGTATGAATATAGTGTGTTTTGATCACATCCTCCCAATTCCCTCCGTCTGATTCTTCTCCTATTCCCATCGCTTTTTCTTCCCAGTTTCATGAGCTCTTTTTTTAAACCACTGAATCTACTTAGTGCTACCTGTATGTGCTTGGGTATGGGGCCATCTGCTGAAGGTGGGTAGCCTCTCAGGGCTGCATCCCCGAAGAAACTGACTCTCCCTCTCCTAGCAGCCATCAGTTGCCAATAACTCCTCTGGTGAGCCCCTCCCCCATCCACCCGCAGATTTGGCTGGCTTGATCCTGTTCAGATCTTTTGCATGCATTCACAGTTGCTGTGAGTTCATATATTCAATAGCACTGTCATGTCCAGCAAATACTGTTTTGCTGCAGTTGGCCACTACCTCTGGCTCTTACAGTCTTTCCACCTCCTCTTCCATCATGATCCCTGAACCTTGGAGGTAGGTGGTGTGATATAGATCTCCCATTTAGATCTGAGCTCTCCATAGTCTCTTATTCTCTATACATCATCCAGTTATGGGTCTCTGTATTAATCATCTACTGCAAAAAGAAGCTTCTCTAATGAGGATTAAGAGATGCACTAATCTATGGGTATAAAGATAAGAATTTAAGGGGAAGTTTATTATTATGTTCATTTAGCACAATAATAGTATTAGGTTCTCCCCTAGGGCCTATGACCTTGCCAGCTATGGGGTTTGGCCCAGTTATTGGTGCCAGGCATGAGATCCAGCTTGTGTAGTGAGCTTTAAATCCAATCAGAAAATGATTGGTTACTCATGTAACATTCATGCCAGTATCCAATTAGTGAGCATATCTTGCCAGCCTAGTAGTAGTTATTGTACCTCACAGGGTTCACAGCTGAGTAAGACAATTGATTACTATTCTTTCCTGTTAGTGTACATATATAACCTTCTAGCACTGTGAAAGTTAGTCAGTAGGGTGACTCTTTCAGTATCCGTCAGTCACCAGTCAGTCAGTACCAGCCTGACTTCTTCATGATCTATAACTCAAGTATGTGGTATCTTTAGCAATAAGGTCTTACCATCAAATTCTGGAGAGTGACTGAGAATAATGGCAATAGCCTGTAATGTTTGGGAGGGGGGGTCTATGGACTCCACTGACCAAAACTTGGTAAAGAGGTAACCCATATCTGGGACTGGGTTTTTTGGGGGGTGGGGTGTGAGACAGGGTCTCCCTATACCCACAGCTGGCCTGGAACTCCCTATGTAGACCAGGCTGGCCCTAATCCCACAGAGCTCCTCCTGCTTCTGCCTCCTGAGTGGTAGGATTAAAGGCATGCACCACAATACCCAGCTTGGCATTGTGCTTTTTATTTTATAGCTGTGGTGTCTGGGGGAGGCATTGCTTCCCCCCTCTCCTTCTTTGTAAGATAACTCAGTTTAAATTCCTTTTGTGTGTGTGTGTGTGTGTGTGTGTGTGTGTGTGTGTGTAAGCTTCTACAGTAGTAGGGATCTATACAGTGTTTTCAAAGGCCTTTAGCGTTGTTATCTGTCCCCATACTCATTCCTCTAGTCTACCCTCCCAACCCCTACTGCATTTAACCCTTCCTGTTCCATTATTCCTATTTCCTTGTTCATACCACCTGTGTTCTATCCCCCTTCCTTTGAAATCTATCTCATGGTCCCATGCTAGTTTCCTGTCCTTGATGGGTGCACCATTTGCAACACATACCTAAAGATTCAAAACTACCATCCACATATGAGAGAACATGTGTCATTTGCCTTTCTGGGTCTGAGTCACTCAAAATGATTGTTTCCAGCTCTATCCATTTACTTGCAAATTTAATAATTTTATTTTTCTTTATGGCTGAATAATACTCTTTTGCATATATGTACGACATTTCATCTCCCATTCATCAGCTGATGAACATCTAATCTGTTCCCATTTCCTGGCTATTGTGAATAGAGCAGCAGTGAGCATGGAGGAGCAGGTTTCTCTGTAGTAGGATATAGAGTCCTTTGGGTGTATGCCCAGAAGTAGGATAGCTGGATCACATGATAGGTCTATTTCTAGCTTTTTGAGGAACCTCTACACTGATTTCCATAGTGGCTACACCAGTTTGTACTCCCACCAACAGTGAATAAGTGTTCTTCTTTCTTCACATTGATATCAGCATTTATTACTTGATTTTTGTTTTTCGTTTTGTTTTGTTTTTCTTTTTTTTTCAATCTTAGACTTTCTAAATAGGATAAGTTAAAATCTCAAAGTAGTTTTACAATTGACAAATGGGAATTCATTAAACTAAAATAGCAAAAGGCACCATCATTTGAGTGAAGAGACAGCCTATAGAATGTGAAAGAAAATATTTACTAGTGATACATTTGACAGAGGAATAGTATTTAGAATATACAAAGAACTCAAAAAACTAAATACCAAAAAACAAGCAACCCAATTTAAAATTGGGGTATGGAACTAAACAGAGTTCTCAAAAGAAGCACCAATGGCTAAGAAATACTTGAAAAGATGCTCAACATCTTTAGCCATCGGGGAAGTGCAAATTGAGATTTCGTCTTACCCCAGCCATGATGG